CTTGGTTACTGTTAGAGTTGCAATTGTCATTGGTTTAATAATCTTCATTTTTACTATTTAAGTAGTGAACATGTTAATTCCACATCATCTCAATATTCTCGGATGGAGTATAAATTTAACTACCATTTAGATTTCATCGAAAATTCTATCTCAAAATTCAAGAAACTTGTTTTTCCCAAAAAAAAAAAAAGTCAGCTATTCCATCAATTTTGTTGATAGATTGGCTGTAACGGAAATGTAAGCCTAAACATTTTTTCCACACAAAAGCAAAGTCAAACTTAATTGTAACAAAAACATAAGTTTTAGAAAACACAAGTTAAATTTAAAATTCTACAAGTATAATTCCAAAATATCGATAGACCCACACTAGTGTTTTAATTGGAACTTCAAACACATGACATCAAAAAAAGCCAAGAGTAGTAACCGGAAAATAAGGAAGATAATTTGGTTGGATATGGAAGTCGGAGAAGTTTCACCGGAAGATAGTTCCAAAACTATCCCACTAATTGCCAGATTCCGCACCTGATTTTCGACTTATCTTATGACTTTGCTCAAAGTCAGATTTCTAAACATTATCATTTTCAATCACTATATTCTTAATTATTGTATGATATTCATCATCTTCTTAAAACCAAAATATAGTCTTTAAGTCTTCTCTCGTTCATACTTCTCTCGTTCATACATCTATATAGATTATCTGGAAAGAAGTCGTTACGTTTGCATACAACATTTTGGATGATGATAATTATAATTTACTAAGATGTAAATACAAATGTTAAACAATCATAGTTTGAATGAATCATGGTCATGATCTTGGATCTTAAAATATATATCGAATATGACCAGAGAAAGATCAGAATTCAGAGGAATAAATAGAAATTAAAGCTCATAATGTTTACGATATTATGTTATAAGGTCAGCGGTCGTAATTCTAATGAATAGGTTTATAATACTAAATTGGTTTGATGCCAAAGTAAATCATTTCAATCTATTTTAATTAACATATATTATTCTTGGTGTAATATCTATATACCTATAGACTATAGTGAAAGTAACTCGAGCAATATTTGAATTATGAAGTAGTATATACTATTCTTTGGAGACGTTATGTGCTTTTTGTTTTTGTTTACAAGAAAGTTCTGAGCTAGCGATCTATAATTTTCTTTGGTCTAGACCAATAGTTGATAAGCCTGTTAAGACATATATCATTTCTCTTCAGCGAAAAATCGAACTAAAATAACAAATATTCAACTTCGTGTTTGGCTACATGATGTGTTTTGTCTCCAAGTTAAGTGTTTATGGGTTGCATTGACTAAAGAACTCCAAGACAGTTTGGTAAGGTTGATTTGTACAAAAAAAACACCTTAAATTGCGTTTCCATGCTTTGTTTTTGTTGATCAAAAGATTGGTTTCATTCATTCGGTTAAACCGGGATTTGGACCGGATTGTTTGGTACAGAGGTGAGAGCTGATTTTGCCATAGCATCAGCCTCTTCATTTTCGTATCTAGACACAAAGACGAAAGAGATTTCTAGAGAGGTTGCGATTTTGATGATGTCTTGTAGGATTCCATAAATCTCTAGTTGAATCTTGTTTGTTTTGAGTAGATTGATGAGTTGTTGGGAGTTCGATCCCATTACAAATCATTTTATGTTCTTGACGATGCTTGGAATAGAGCTTCTTTCATAGCCAGAGCTTCTTTCATAGCCAGAGCCTCCGCCATCAACGGTGAGCAGATATGGTCCGCAGTTCTGGCTCCTCTCGCTTCGGTGTGGCCATGCCGATCTTTTATTATCCATCCCAAATCCGCAGATTTTCATGCTTAAATCGTCAAATGTTCTACTTAAGGAAAATGATATGCATTTATTCATTAATCTTTTTTTTATTATTGCACCAGAAAATATCACATTATGTGGTTCCGAAAATATTTTGGTAAAACAATCAACCTTTAAGAACTGTAGGTGAATCTAAACCAATTCTTATAATCGTTTTTTTAGAGCTAGAAATTGTGTTCACCATGAACGAAAAAAATAATTATAGTTAGCTAAACATATATTATATACAGTCCACAAAATGAAAATATATAAATTTGAATC